TAAATCCAGGTGTGGAGCCAGTGGAGGGGGCTGGCAGCCACGGAGTCTCCTCGAGCCAGGGGTGGGTGGGCAGCTCGGCACAAGTGATCGTGGTGGTCAGTGCTGGGCACCTGGGGGGCAGAGCCAGACGTGAAGTGCTGGTTATGTGAGCGTGTACAGTCCCGTAGGAAGCAAATAACCACCATAACCACCAGCCCGTTAAGGGTTTGCATTGCAGTTCGCAGACCAGCGCGAGCTCCTGGGGACCAGATCAGCTCTTGGGAGAGGGCTGTGACTGGGGTGGGATTGTCAGAGCTCTGCATCGGGTAGGGGTTGTTTGATCAGGTCCTTGCTTTGCTGCCAGGCTCTGTCTACAGCTGCTTTCAGGAGAGTGTGTCAGAAAAGTCGGAGTTGTGTTCCTTGCTGCTTTGGGTTTGTTTTCCAGAATGGAAATAGCGGTAGATCCTGGAGTCATCTGCGTTGCACAACTGTTAGTCTGCAGAAGAAACTCTGTTTTAGGTACATTTGGCAATCTTGCATAAATTTACCCCCAGAAAGAATTGCTTTGGGATGTTGCCAGGTCATCCTTAAGGCTGCAAGGGTTGAATCATCAATTCACTAATCAGGAGCTCTGCTGGTAACTTTGGGGAAATACCGTTTCACTTGTAGTCAGAGGATTTGCCCTGTTCTGGCTAAAACTTCTGACAGAAGCTGCTGCTCACTGTTCCCAAAGATACTTGTCCTTGTGTGATGGTGTGACTGGTGTCCCACCTCCTTGGCCATCTTTGACTGCTCTGGGTAGCCCAACCCCATCTGCTGTTACGCTCTGTGGTCGTGCTGTGCAGATGCACCTTCCCAGGGACAGAAAATCCAAGGAGCGTGTGGGAGATAAAGGCTCTGGCTTCTCCACAGATGGTGTGTCCAGTTTCATTTTAGACTTTAGAAGTTTTTAGAGGTTTAGGTCTTTTTAGAAGGTCTGATGCCAGTGCCCTCTTTCTGATTGTGTCAGGTGAGCTCAGGTGTTGCATGGTCTGGCAGCACCACTGTGTTACCAGCTTGTGGTTTTGGTGGGCTCAGCACTTTTAGTGCCTGTGATATGATGGTCTGTAGGTGGAGACGTGTGGTGGTGATATTTATACTGGTCGGCGTGTTTCTGCTGGGGCAGCTGGTTCTTGCTCACGGCAGCTCTTGAGCTGTTACAGCCCTTTGTGTTCTTTCCCCAGTGGGAAGAAATCAGTGGTGTGGATGAGAATTACAAGCCGATACGCACGTACCAGGTCTGCAATGTCATGGAGCCAAACCAGAACAACTGGCTGCAGACTGGCTGGATTGCCAGGCGTGACGGCCAGAGGATCTTCATCGAGCTGAAGTTCACCCTGAGGGACTGCAACAGCATCCCTGGTGTGACGGGTACCTGCAAGGAGACTTTCAACCTGTATTACGTCGAGTCTGACTCTGACCTGGGCCGTAGCGTCAACGAGAGCAAGCACACCAAGATCGACACCATTGCTGCTGATGAGAGCTTCACGCAGGGGGACCTGGGTGAGCGTAAGATGAAGCTGAACACCGAGCTGAGGGAGATCGGGCACCTGAGCAAGAGAGGCTTCCACCTGGGCTTCCAGGACGTGGGTGCCTGCGTGGCGCTGGTCTCCGTGCGGGTCTATTACAAGAAGTGCCTTGCCACCGTGCAGAAACTGGCTGTGTTTCCGGGCACGGGGGGC